CGTGCGCATCTCCCGCTCAGCCATGCCATTCTGCTGCGGAGTGTAGGGGCACGTCAGGTCGTGGACGATGCCCTTCCCGTCAACGAAATCGGTGAACGCCTTCCCGAGGAATTCCCCCCCTTGATCGGAGCGAAGCGACAGAACCGACTTCTTCGTCTGTCGTTCCACAAGCACCAGCCACTTCTCGAACTCCCACAGCACATGGCTCTTCTTAGCGACCAGCATTGCCCACACAAATCGAGTATGGCGATCCTTCAGCAGTAGGAAGTACAAGCTGCCATCCTTGGCAGCCACCCGAAATGGCCCGCACAAGTCAATGTGCACGACAGCCAGCGCCTCCGCTGCATCCGAGCCCTTGGCGGGGAAGGTGTGGCGTGCCAGTTTTCCTCCGACGCACGAGACACACGGCGGGTCTGCTCCGGTCGACGACGTGATGTCGAGCCCAGTAGCAACATCATGCTTTGCCGAGCTCTTGATCGTGTCGAAGCTGACGTGTGCGAGCCGCGCATGCATCCTGTTGGGGGTCGTCTTTGTCGCGGAGATGATCGTTCGCAGAGCCACCACCTCGGCCGACAGCGACTGCGTCGAGCAGGGGCGAAGGTCGGTGCAGAGTATCCGTCCGGTGTAGCGAGCTCGACCGAGCACCTCCCCAGTCGCGGAGATGAGCAGCATCTCATCGCCATCTCCCTGCAGCAGCACTCCGCTCTCCTTCAGCTGGCCAGCAGACAACATGTTTGCCTGTACGCCCGGAACGTAAAGTACGTCGGGGATGAGGACCCGCTTCCCGGCCCCCCCTTGCAGAGCGACGGTTCCGCGACCCTTGACAGGCTGTAATGCCCCGTTGAACCCACACACGTGCTTCACCCCGTCGCTCCGCCCCATGTCGACGAAGACCGACTTCGTCCCCATCAGGTGGTGGGAGCACCCGCTGTCGAGCAGCACCGCCATCGGGTTGGCCTGCACGGCTGCCGCCACTGCCTGGAAGTCCTCGCCAGCCTCTGGCGCCAGCGAGACCGTCGGCTCCACTACGCCGACCATCGAGCACGACGCCTCCCCGTCGCCTCGGCTCTTGCCGCTGGAGCTGTCGACGTCTTTCGTCGACGACGTCTTCTTCGACTCTTGCTTCTCCTTGCGCGGCTTCTCTACTCGACGGGGGCGACGACTGGCCGATCGTCCGCGGCCTCCCTTGTTGTCGTCCTCGTCACTGTCATCGCGGTCGGGGCACTCAAAGGAGAGATGGTCAGGGTCGCCGCAGATCCAGCACTCCCGCCGTCGACCACCACCACGTCGACCCTTGTCCCGCGTCGACCTCTTCTCGTCGACGTCCTTCGTTGACCGCCCACCTCCGCTACCACCTCCGCCTGGCTTCCCGCGCTTCTCCTGCTGATAATTCAACTTCGTCGGTGCAGCGTAACTCGCCTGCGGAAGGAACTCCGTGGGCTGCTCTGCCTCCTGCATCGCCTCATCCTGGAGAATGTAGCTGGTGATGGAGTCCTCGTCGAGGGACTCACGCGTGCCGGGCACCATCATCATCCTCTTCATGAGATTGTAGATGCGCGGCAAGCCCTTGACGATGTGGGTGATGTAGGACGCCGTCGAGTATTCGGCGCCCGCCATTCGCATCTCAGCCAGGATCCGTCGAGCACGGTTGCAGTAATCCGTCGCCGACTCCTGCTCGCCCATCTAAATGTGAGTCATCTTCTCCTCTAGCTGTCCGATGTACAGGTCGTCCCTGACCTGGTACGTCGACATAATGAAGCGCCATGCCTGGTGACCAGCATCCAGTCGCTCTCGACAGCTCCTGAGCGCCAGCTGCACCACCGGCGAGCAGCACCTCGAGATGACCATGAAGGTGAGCAGGCGAGCAGAACGAAACTCCCCGCGCAGCCCGACATCCTCCTCGGGCGGAATTGGCACGGTGCCGTCGGCGAAGCCCTTCAGCCCGGCGACCTCCAGCTGAGGTTCGATGGACTCTCTCCAGGTGATGAGATCTCGTCGACCTTGCAGCGGAGCGACGGTGATTCGATCCGGCGAAAACTTGAAGTAGCCATACGCCAGTGCAATCCCGCCCGGCGTCACATGCGTCGTCGCCGAGAGCCCGCCACCACTTCGTAGCGGAGAGCGACGTCGAACATCGACGTCGGCGTGCGAGCTGCCTGCAGCCGCCATCGACCACTGCACTCGCGCCTGGATTCCGTCGACACCACCATCGACCTTGATCACTCCTCTCTGCCTCGTGCCTTCGCTGCCGCTGACTCGTGCACCACCGTCAACCTCGTCGTCGACGCCACCTTCGTTGCGCACCGGTCGAGGAGAAGCAGGACGGGAAGGGTGTTCCGTCGCCCACTGCGACCGGATGCCCAACTCGGCGATCACCAAGGGGATCGTGCCGTACTCGCCATTCGCGTGGCGTCTCCTCGCGTCAGCCAAACGTGCCTCCAAGGTGTCCGTTACACCCGCATCAGCTACGGGGTCGACCATGGCGACTATCGCTGCTGGCGGCCTACAAACGACTTAGTAGGTGCAAAAGTCGGCTCCTATCTGAAGGTCGCGTGTTCGTTCCACGCTCACCGCACCATGCGGAGATAAACTCTACAGCGGTAGTGAGACGGACTACAGGGTTGGCACGAACTACTAGAGGTGATCGTAGCTTTGCTTGGTTCCTTAGTGCTTGCACATTCACGGGAGAAATTGGCAAGAGTTTCCACTAGCAAAGTTGAGAATTCCAGAATGATAGAAGAAGCAATGACAACAATGACTACATCAGGCACCTAGCAACCCTGCAGCTAGCCTGGTCGACCGCCAGCGCAGCTCGGTCGACCGCCTGCCAGCATTGCGTAGAGGAGCCGCGCCAGCACTGCAGAAGGGCGACCTGCCAACAAAGCAGGTCGACGGCGTGCCTCGTAGAACACAGCAGTGCGCGCGCTCGCAGGTGTGCGCAGGCGATTGGCCCGACTTGCCTCGTTGGGCATCCGTCGGCTGTTGTCTGCGCCTGACGAGCCACATCGACTTCGGGATACCAGTCCAAAGTCGCCTGCGCCATCGCGATCTTGACGACGTTCGCGAGCCTTCGCAGTACTCGTCGAGCAGGTTACTCGGTCGACCTGGTCGACCCCTGGTGCTCTGGTCGACCCCCAGGTGCCTCCGGTCGACCACTGGGTCCCTCTGGTCGACCACCAGGCGCTCCTGGTCGACCACAACTCCCGTCGAGCTACCCCCTGGTCGACGGACCCCTTCCGTCGACCAGAACTGCTCTGTCGACCTCCCGGTCGAACTGTAGGTCGACGGACTGCTTCGTCGACCTCCCGGACGGCCCACCCGTCGCACAAACCAGTCAGTTGCAGCTGTCGAGCTCCTTGGTCAACAGTAACACCACAGTGGTCCGCTGCAGCTCGACGTAACCTGTCGAGCAGCTATCCCACTGTGAACGGTCGGCTGCTACTCCCGTGCATCCGACCAAGTCGTCGGCGTTGCCCAAGCGAGGGCGGGGCCAACACTCTATTCCTGTTAACAGATCGTGGCCTAGGATCTACTCAGGAAGGTTCGCACGCAGAGAAGTGATGTTGGTGGGCCCTTGACCTCAATAGCAGAGAATGTAAATGCTTGAGATGAGTAAAACATGCAAATACAACAAGTATAAATATGAGTACAGCGGAGATGAAACGACCTAGTTAGCCATGTACTCTAAGGGGTACATTCCCTTATTCAAATACATTCCCAACCGTGCGGCGCGAACAGTTACGAAACTGTTCCCGCCGAAGCCATCCTGCCTGCAGCTGCCTGATGCTGTCTGCTCCGACGGTTCAGATGCGTCCCAACTGTCTGACGCTTTGAGTCGTTTCCAACCGTCTGACGCTTCACGTTCATTCGCGATATTGCGTGCTTCTCTTTGCTGCGGTGAGGAGTGCACAGCAATATTTAAGTATTACTATTCGTAACAGTTGCAACAGGCCGTTTCAACAAGCAAACATCGCCCTTTTCGAGCCCGAGGTCGTTGCAATTTGACTGCAAAGACGCTAAGAGGAAAACCAGACAGGGGAGAGTCTGGGGCTGCTGTTGTGGGTGCAGCAGAGACTAGCAGCACATCATCCACAGGGGTGATGACAGTAGCTACACTGCAGTCGTACCCTTCACTTCACACACGTCTGTATCTTCTTCCATTACCTATCTCTCCATCCTCCTTTCCTAGTGTCCAAGACCAAGAAGGATGCAAGCAGCAGGGTGGGTTCAGAAATTAGGTGGCAAGAGTAGGGTGTACAACAGTCAAAATCGGAGGGTAGCAATTATATTAAGCAAAGATTTGCCTGAGGCAACAGCCGTAGATAGTGAGGAGCTAGTTCAAAAGGGCTGAAATACAGCACTCCTAACCATGCTTTTTATGCATGCAGTGCTGTGAAACCTCAAGAACAAAACGAAGGAAGTTTTACAGCCCACCAAATTTGTTTAAATAAAAGCAAACCGACAATCTCATACAAAAGGAAGTAAAAATCAACAGCCCACCAAGGTCACATTGAAAAAACCAGAAGCCCACCATATTTGTAAACAGCCCACCAAACTTGAAAACAGCCCACCAAACTTGAAAACAGCCCACTAAACACAAGAACGACACTGCTCCGATGCACTCCCGAAAGGCGGGAATGAAACCAACGAGGAGTAAAAAGGTAATGGCTTCTCATCAAGTACAGCAGGTACAGCTCCTCTGCCTTCCTTCAGCTTGACTTGAGGCCTTCATCAAGCCACCCTTCAGACGCAGCTTTCCTTCAGGACTTGAAGTATTCAGCTGCAGCTTTTCGGGGAAGGGCCCAGCAAACTCAAGCTCGCATTCCTGCATTCAAAGGACGATGATTGGCAGCAAATGAACCACAGGAACCAGAGAATTAGAGAACGAGTTCCAGGAGAGAATGAGGGATCTGTACTAGAAAATAAGACAGGAAAAACGTGTGCTCTTTACCAGGGTGATTCACCCTTTGTATGCTGAATGAATCAAGTTTGAGGCAAGACTAGATACAAAGATAGAGAACAGGGGTGAGAGAGGACAGGGGTGAGAGAGGACAGGGGTGAGAGAGGACAGGGGTGAGAGAGGACAGGGGTGAGAGAGGACAGGGGTGAGAGAGGACAGGGGTGAGAGAGGACAGGGGTGAGAGAGGACAGGGGTGAGAGAGGACAGGGGTGAGAGAGGACAGGGGTGAGAGAGGACAGGGGTGAGAGAGGACAGGGGTGAGAGAGGACAGGTGTGAGAGAGGACAGGGGTGAGAGAGGACAGGGGTGAGAGAGGACAGGGGTGAGAGAGGACAGGGGTGAGAGGAGGACAGGGGTGAGAGAGGACAGGGGTGAGAGAGGACAGGGGTGAGAGAGGACAGGGGGTGAGAGAGGACAGGGGAGGGGTGAGAGAGGACAGGGGTGAGAGAGGACAGGGGTGAGAGAGGACAGGGGTGAGAGAGGACAGGGGTGAGAGAGGACAGGGGTGAGAGAGGACAGGGGTGAGAGAGGACAGGGTGAGAGAGGACAGGGGTGAGAGAGGACAGTGGTGAGAGAGGACAGGGGTGAGAGAGGACAGGGGTGAGAGAGGACAGGGGTGAGAGAGGACAGGGGTGAGAGAGGACAGGGGTGAGAGAGGACAGGGGTGAGAGAGGACAGGGGTGAGAGAGGACAGGGGTGAGAGAGGACAGGGGTGGAGAGAGGACAGGGGTGAGAGAGGACAGGGGTGAGAGAGGACAGGGGTGAGAGAGGACAGGGGTGAGAGAGGACAGGGGTGAGAGAGGACAGGGGTGAGAGAGGACAGTGGTGAGAGAGGACAGGGGTGAGAGAGGACAGGGTGAGAGAGGACAGGGGTGAGAGAGGACAGGGTGAGAGAGGCTTGAGAGAGGACAGGGGTGAGAGAGGACAGGGGTGAGAGAGGACAGGGGTGAGAGAGGACAGGGGTGAGAGAGGACAGGGGTGAGAGAGGACAGGGGTGAGCAGGGGTGAGAGAGGACAGGGGTGAGAGAGGACAGGGGTGAGAGAGGACAGGGGTGAGTAGGGGTGTAATCGGCGTTCACATACGCAAAACACAAGAGACAGTTCAACCAGCAGATGCACATGTGACTTCAATTGTACGTACCTATTAAGGACTCCACTGATCTATCCCACCATGACCGACAGGATCAAAGTTTGCAATCGCAAAACACGCGCCACAGTTGAGCAGGGACATGAGGGAAGAGTCCTGGCAGTGCAATTCGATGCACTCCTCAGTACTTGGACCTGAAAGGAAGTAGCAACACCAATAGGTATAATGGCATTAGGACCTGAAAGGAAGTAGCAACACCGATAGGTTTAATGACATTAGGACCTGAAAGGAAGGAAGTAACAACACTAGTACTTGTTGAAGGAAAAGGTACGGTGCTACTAGCACTGGAAAGGGAGAGAAGGGAGCGAGAGAGAGGGAGAGGGGGTGACAGAGAGGAAGCGAGAGAGAGGGGGCGAGGGAGAGGGAGGTTTAGGGGAGAGAGCGGAAGGGAGAGCGAGGAAGATACAGAGAGAAAATGTGCAATTGTAGGGTGGTAGACTGCACTTACAAGTCCCAATACCGTCGAGATTGACACATACTGCACCGTCGCACTGTGTGACTGCGCATGTTCCTGAGAAAGAGAGAAAGAGAGAGAGAGAGAGAGAGAGAGAGAGAGAGAGAGAGAGAGAGAGAGAGAGAGAGAGAGAGAGGGGGCGGGGGGGGGAGGGGGAGAGGGAGAGAGTGAGAAAGTCGGAGGAGATGAGAGAGGGCGAGGAACGTGAACTACTATGACTGGGAAAGGGGACATGAGCGTGAGCGCTTGGCAGAATTTTGAGTCGACTCAAAAGTCACTTTGAGTCGACTCAAAGGAAAGGGGACATGAGCGTGAGCGCTTGGCAGAATTGGAGGTATTCTGCCAAGCAGTGCTGCAAAGAACAAGCACACTACGCACCTGTGCAAATGCCGTTGTGCCGCGTATATCCTTTTGCGCAGTAACAGACCGCACCATCATTCTTGTCGACACATACTTCAGTCTCGGAATTACAAGGGTATGACTCGCATGTCCCTGGCAGAAGCGAGGGAGAATGGAAGGTAGTTTTGAGAGTGGGGTATAGAGAGACAAAGAGAGCATAATTTAAAACGTGGGATATAGAGAGACAAAGAGAGCATAATCTAAAATGTGGGATATAGAGAGACAAAGAGAGCATAATCTAAAACGTGGGATATAGAGAGACAAAGAGAGCATAATCTAAAACGTGGGATATAGAGAGACAAAGAGAGCATAATTTAAAACGTGGGATATAGTTTTGTGCCATACAGAGAGCTGGTTAGACCGTGTAGAGAGATGGGATGGATCCAGTTAAATGAAGACCGATGAGCGTGCAGGGAAAATGCGAGGCAGACAAAGATGCACGTACCTTTACAATTCGGCGGCGCGCCTGTGTATTCGGGCTCCCTGCAAACGCATTGTCCACCGTAATCCGTTTCTTTGCAAACGTTCCAAGGGGCCACACTTCGTGAATATGCATTGTGCTGGCAGTTGTTGGTTGGCAAAAATCATCAACGAGGGAGAGGGGAGGGGGAGGAAGAGAAAGAGAGAGAGGGGGGAGGGGGGGAGGGGGGGGGGGGGGGGAGGGGGGGGGACGGGGGGGAGGCGGCTGAGGGGAGAGTGTCGGCAAGAGACAATTGCTAGACACGGCATCCATTAGCAGGGGTTCTTGCAATTTAATGGACTTGGTACAAACAACTTCTGAATCACATGATGGACTCCTCTCCTTCTGTTCCGTGCTCTCTATACTAGCTTGTACGATACAGAGAGCGTGTGTGAGAGCACAGTGCGTGAAGGTGACGACATGCTACGTACGAGGGCATGTGTGAGAAGGAGTTTTCATGTATCCAAACTTGCAGTTTTGAGACGTCTCAGAATACGTACGCGCGCAGGTGCGATAAGGAGTTTGCATGTATCCGAACTTGCATCGGCAGTAAGACGTGTCTTGCCTCTCCACACACTCCTCGTTGAGACCACACACTCGTATTGAGCACGGCGCTGGCAGATGGTGGGAGGATCAATGGGGAGGAGAGGGAGAGGGAGAGGGAGGGAGAGAGAGAGGGAGGGAGAGAGGGAGGGAGAGAGGGAGAGAGGGTAGGGAGAGGAGGGAGAGGGAGAGACGGGGGGAGGGAGAGAGAGGGAGAGAGAGGGGGGACGCTGGCACATGGTTGATTTGAGATGCTACCTTGCCCACATCGACCACGGGTTTGCATAGGCATCGATAAAGAAACGACTTGAGAGGGGAGAGAAGAGGACAATCCAGGGGGAGAGAAGAGGAGAAGTACTTACGCTTGCAAAATCCTGGACCCCGAGATATCCTGGCTTGCAGTTGCACGTTGGTCTGAGGTTCACCATCTCGCATACTTCGTTTTGACCGCATTCATAGACTTGCGCATGTGGCTGGTAAGTGGGAGAGAGGAGAGGGGAGAACGAGAGAGGTGGTGAGGGATAGTGAGGCGAGGCAGGGGAAATGGACGGTGGTAGAGGAAGGAGGGTAATAAGAGGGAAAGAGAGAGATAATATGCAAGGAAAGTGAGAGGGAAAAGATAAGAGGAATGGTAAGCCAAACATACTCCATACCATCACAGTATTTGCCTCGCGCGACGTATCCTGCAGCGCATTCGCAAGTCCCAGCGCCTCCGGGGACTTTCTCCACACAGTGTTGGTTAGGCGGGCAGTAGAGAGCATTGCATGTTGCTGCACGATGGATTTGGTGATTGATTTGATAGGGAGAAGTGGGAGAATGAGACGGGGAAGAGGAGAGAGCATGACAGAGAGGTTATGACAAACGAGCAAGATAGGCAGCGATACGAGTGACAATGAAAGAGAGAAGAATATCAATTATAGAGAGGCATTGCATAGGAGGGAGAGAAAGAAAGGCAAAGAACGCATGTGAGTTAGAGAATAAAGTGAAAGAACAAGCACAGCACATACCAGCACACGATCCCGCCTGGCCGACGTATCCGCTCCTGCATTTACAGGTCGGCACACCTCCTACCATTGCACATTCTTCCAATGGTCCACAATTTATGGCTTCACAGGTGTCTGTTGGATGGATGGAGGGAGACAGGAGATGGGAAGAGGGGGAGATGGGAAGAGGGGGAGATGGGAAGAGGGGAAGATGGGAAGAGGGGAAGATGGGAAGAGGGGGAGATGGGAAGAGGGGGAGATGGGAAGAGGGGGAGATGGGAAGAGGGGGAGATGGAAGAGGGGGAGATGGGAAGAGGGGGAGATGGGAAGAGGGGGAGATGGGAAGAGGGGGAGATGAGAAGAGGGGGAGATGGGAAAAGGGGGAGATGGGAAAAGGGGGAGATGGGAAAAGGGGGAGATGGGAAGAGGGGGAGATGGAAGAGGGGGAGATGGGAAGAGGGGGAGATGGGAAGAGGGGAGATGGGAAGAGGGGAGATGGGAAGAGGGGGAGATGGGAAGAGGGGAGATGGGAAGATGGGGAGATGGGAAGAGGGGAGATGGAAGAGGGGGAGATGGGAAGAGGGGAGATGGGAAGAGGGGAGATGGGAAGAGGGGAGATGGGAAGAAGGGAAGAGGGAAGTGGGGAAGGAGGGGAGAGGGGGAGAGGGGAGAGAAAGCAACCAACATCGCCACTAATGCAATGACCTTTGGCAGGGAGCATGCTGGTGTGGATGTGGCATTGGAGCAGGAAGGGATGAATATGTGGGTCAGCCACGCAAGTGAGGCAGCGAAGTGGAGAAGGGAAACGCAGGAAGGAGCAAAATGACAGAAAGAGGACATCAGGAGAGGGGAGAAGGGTCAGGGAGTGGAATGTGCACGAGTGAATGATAAAGGGAAGGCAACGGGTCAAGTACCAGGACCCTTCTTCTGGCAACGGTAAATGAGAGCATCAGGACTTGGATATATGGACCATCACGTACTAGGGCAGGCTTGAATGCTCATCTGGGAGTTCCAAACACAGTCACGAGGACAGTTAGCCGGGCAGTTAACTGCAACAGAATCCAAGAGGGATAAAGAGGTACAGGTGCAAATTAGCAACAGAATGAAAGCAAGACGATCTGCTTTGCTGCCAAAGCCAGACAATCTGTCTACCTTCTCTCAATCACCAGCAATTGTCTAGAAAAACCACATCTGCCACGTGACTACTCCCCATTTGCCATGTGACCAACAGTGGCTAGATAAGCAACTTCACCTCGCCTTTATCACAGCGATCAAGAGTAACCATCCTCATTACTCCCCAATGGATGATCATTGGATGGACGATGATTGGATGGACGAGTGATTGGATGGAACGTGTGTAAGTTGCCGAGCAAGCGCACCTTTCTTACAGACCGGATAAAGTCCAGATGTGTCACAAAGGTATCCATATGGACAGGGCATGGCCGGGCATGATACTGGCAGATGGAGGGTGGAGATTGAGTATGATGAGAGGGAGAGAGGGGAGGGGAGCACGGGTAGGCAGGGAGGGGAGGTGGACAGGGAAGGGGAGATGGGGGGTTTGAAGAGTTCATATGGTTAAACACCAAAAGGTTAGCTTTGATGAACACCACACCACAAGGCCAACAAAGCTTGTTGGGCCATGCCTCAGACCCAGAGAAATAAAAAACAGAGATAACGGGGATAGGGAAACATAGAGAAAGAACTGCCACGGGTTTTTTTTAATCCATTGTACGTACGTACGTACGTACCTATGCAATTTCCTGAGACTGGATCCGGTGTGTAGCCATCGTTGCACTTGCAGTATTGAAAGGGCGGATTGTTGTTCCACCACCACCAGTTGTCATATTTCTCAACGCAATTGCCATCACCACAGTTGTCAGTGGTGCATTCGTCACGAAGAAAGTCTGGACACAGATGGAGAGAAGACAGGAGTGTGTAAGCAGGTCAGGCATGCGGGATGGGGACACCCACCACCTTCCATAAATCAACAGAGGCAAACCAGCAGGTGTTTTCTGAGTCCTCTGAAAATCACCTGCAATCCAGCAGGGGAATGGGTACTTATTCAAATGGGATTGGCTTGAAAGACACATCAAACTTTTCCTGATTGCTCAAACTGAGCTGTGGTAGGTGTTTTGAGTCGACTCAGAACACGACTCAAACTGAGCTGTGGTATTGTGCAAGCGCACATGCCATATATATACAGGCCACGAACATATCCAAGCAAGCAAATTATTTCCGTGAGCCACACAAACCTCATTCACACCACTGCTTGACTTCGGATGAACCTTGAGAAAGAGGTGAAGGAGAGGGGGAGAGATGAAGATGGTGAAAACGGAGTACAGATACCTAGCACATTCGTACGAAAATCGTAGCACAAAGGACAGCACATAGGTACGAAAATACCAGCACAAGTACGAAAATACCAGCACAAAGGACAGCACATACGTACGAAAAATACCAGCACAAGTACGAAAATACCAACAAGTACGAAAATACAGCACAAGTACGAAAATACCAGCACAAAGGACAGCACATACGTACGAAAATACAAGCACATAAATACGGAAGCACCAGCACATAAAACACCAGCACATACATACAGACATACCAGCACAAAGGACAGTAACACATGCGTACGTACCAGCACACACCCGGTTCTGGCAATAGTATCCAGCCACACACTCGCATCTTCCAGCGATCCCGTTTGGGAGGTCACGTAATTAAAGTGTATTTTTGAGACGTGTCAAAAGAACATATGTACGTACCAACACACTCCCCGTTCCGGCGATAGTATCCAGCCACACACTCGCAGCTTCCAGCGATCCCGTTTGGGAGGTCTTCAAAGCATTCTTCCAAGTCACCACACGGCTTTGGACTCCACGGATCGGCCAGAATTTTGCATGTGGCTGGCAGATGGTTGGTGAGAGGGGGTATGTGGGAGATTGGATTGTGCACAGGTAGAGAGAGAGAGAGGGAGAGAGTGAGAGAGAAAGAGAGAGAAGGGTGGGGGGGGGGTTCTGAGAGACTCCCCATCCCTTCTCAAATCTCTCCTATCAAACGCAATTACAGATGTCAGTCTCAGCAGCGGACCCGGGGGCCCCACACTCGTCGGCGATGACCCATGGGCCCCACACTCTCGGCATGACCCGTGGGCCTGACACACATCTCCCGGCATGACCGTCTTGGGCCCCAGCATATGCCTGCGTCTGCGGCAGACCTAGGTGGCGGGAGGGTGACAGGGAGGAGGGATGCGGTTCAACCAAGCAACACCCCCTACCCCTCCTATCCTAGCGACAGATTGGCAGAAAGGAGGGGTAGGGTGGTTGTTGCGTGGGTTGGCAAGTACTCTTGTGGTAGTCTCCCTGGGGGGGTGGGGGGGGGGGGGGGGGGGTGGGGGGGGGGGGGACTGTCATAGGCAAGGAAAAAAGCAAGAGGCCGTGTGGTTTATGGCATATGAGTTGCTTCGTTTTGTCTAGCTACATCAGTCTTACTTGCCAACGCTTGTACCCGTTTGCCTATTCTAAAACATGACTGCTTGAGAGGAACGAAGGGAGACTGGCATAATTGAAAAAAAGCATACGTACGGGCACAAACGTGTGTCTCTCTGCGAAGGTACCCGTCCTTGCACACGCATTTAGCATGGGTCCGTTTTTCCATGCTTGGAGGAATGCAGTCTTCTTCTGGGCTGCAATTCACGTCAGGGTGATCACATGTTGCTGGAGGATGGATGACACGAGAGGGAGGGGGGGGGTATGCAGGAGAGAGGGAGGTGAGCACGTGTTCTCTAGTGGCGTTCAGCTGTGACATTGCACATGTCAGCATGCAGTTTGGACTGAGCAATGAATTCTTAGGAGTTAACACAAGTTTATCGTATGGAATTGGAATTGGAATTGGAATTTGGACGGCTGCAAGTTGTAGGAGTAGTGGGAAAAACAATACAAGTCTAGTTTTGAGGCGCCTCAAAACTAGTAGTGGGAAAAACAATACATTTGTCGGAAGACTTCCCGTGCAAAGGCAGCTCAACCATTTCCTGTACTCCATGCACAGCAAGTTGACTTTTCAGTCGACTCAAAAGTCAACCCCGTGAAAAGGCGGCTCGACCATTTCCTGTACTCCCATACACAACGTACCGAGACAAGATCCAGGCTCGCCAATCATGTGATCGCCACATGCAGGTAAGTGTAATATCGTCGCGACAAACGGCTGGGGGCCAGCACCACCTTTCCCAGCACTTATCTGGCAGATGATTGGTGGGGAGAGGACGGGAGAGATAGAGAGGGGGAGAGCTATCAATTATAGCTATGGGGCACATCAGGGATGCTTCTTGAATAGGAAGAGAAGGGGGAGTGAGGGGAGGGGGGAAAGAGAGAGCGAGGGAGTTCACATACGCACCGATGCAAGTCCATTTGGCAGCTGGACGGTGCCGTCCATAAAGCAAATGCAGATGGCTTCTAGAGTGACAGGGTCATGCTCGCACACGTCCTCGCTCACCACAGTCCTTAGTTTCGCATCATCTGATAGAGAGGGATGGAGGACA